GGAATTACTCTCCACGAGATGAGCCGCCACCGCCCGCGCCTGCTGCTGCAGCAACACGAGGCTACACAGCTTATCAAATGGGCAGCTTTCAGAAAAACTATATAAATTTGAGAGTGTATTAGCACCAGCAGCGCGCAGCAGGGTATGTCGGGTGTCGGCTTTTGGTGGCAGAGACGAGCGGGTTTGTCGGCTCGTCGGCTCCCTTCAAATAATTGGACAGGTCTTCTAGGCCGGCCCTGCCCAGGCGACGGCCGCGCGGCCCGCTGCTGAACTCCCGCGCGAGAGATTTTGGCCGCCTTTGTTCTGTCAGCGTGTCTATGTGATACTCTCTCTTCTGGAGCCGAACGCGCGCGCGCACACACACACTCCAGCAGCAGCCCGGCCGGTCCAGCAGCGGGAGATCCAGGCCTCCAGCTCCAGCTGATCGCTACCGACGATAGGCCGCCCATTAGCGTCCATCACGCCCAGAGAGCTGTGTTTATGCCGCGCCTGGAACACCGTGTGGAACACCGTGTGGAACACCGTGTGGAACACCGCCCGCCGCCGCGCCGCCCCGCGCCAATGTGTACGGCAGTGTGGGATAACATCGTGTGCACCAGCTAGGAGACACGCCACAGCTGGGGCGGGGCAGCGGCAGAGGACTCCCGTGGGACGGCTGCGAAGCGCCAAGTTGGCCAAATCCTTCAAAAACGGACCGCTCCAACAGTGTGCTCGCTCACCTCGATTTTTGAAGGGCCAATCAACGAGTCGATATCGGATCGAGAGGATCGAGAGGCAATAAGGTACACACAACCCTCTCCGTCGCCGCCCGTCACAACAAACAGCCTGCCCGGCCAGGAGCGGTGTGCGTCAGCTGCGTCAGTGCTCGGGACCTGTCGAAACTGATGGCGGCCCAGCCCGGACCAGCTCGCCGCGCCGCCCTGGCCGCGCGTGACTTACGTCTCCTCGGGCCTCGCTCCGTCTCCGTCGGCCAGCGCGGCGGCGCGCGGCTCCGCGGGGCGGCCGGCCGGTGCGGGGGGTGGACTAATGAGTGGGAGTGAGACAGATAGGCGGCCCGGCCCGCTGCGGTTTATCTCTTCATCGGGTATAATTCCCCCCGGAGCAGTGTTCCCCGCCGCTCCCCCCTCGCCCCGCACTTGCCCCCGGCTCGCACTTTGATTGACCGACGATCACCTCTCACATGGACGCCTGGCTGGCGGCTGTCCGTCCATGCGTTCTCCTTCTCCTTTGCAACGCCTTCTCTCCGTCTCTCCCTCTGTTCTTTCCCCCTTCTCCCTCTCTCCCTCTCTCTCCCCTTTCCCCCCGCCCCTCTCCCTCGCACATATAGGTGATGTTTATCGCAGCCGCGGTCGTGGTCTTTAATATAAGCATTATTGAGGGAACGCCCCCTTTTCATGAGCATCGAGGTGGCCGCCGCCGCCGCCAAGAGTCCGTCCGTCCGTCTGTCGGACCGCTCATCCGCCTGTCCGTCCGTGATCCGAGCCAGCAGAGCCAGCCCAGTCGATGTTCACTTTTTAGCATCATTATGTCGCCGTTCGGGATGAGTCATAACGCTGCTGCCGTTGCCGTCGGCCAACACTCCCTTTGCGCAAGTCGACCAACACTCTGAGCAAGTTCTGCCCTAGCTCTTGTTCTATCTTTCAAGGGTGGTCCTCAGAGACCTTCCTCCTTCCTTTCATTTCGCGTAAACTGTACAGGATGCAGGCGTGCGGTCGGGTTGCATACTCGCACGGGGCCACAAGGCAGCATACCAGGGCGGCACAATACGCAAGCCCGTCCGCACCCCTGCATGCGGTACAGCATAAGCAATAGTAAAGGACGGGGTCTGTAGACCATACCACATGTATTTATTTTCTTTTTTTTTCAGTGAAGACACGGGATACTTTAGTGCGGCGCTTTCTCTCTACAAAAGCTGATTTCCATTTGGCTAAAACTTTTATCGACCGCTGCCCGCGCTCTCGTACAAACGACGCGAAGTTGCGGCGCATAGACGTTGTCCCCGCGCGCGAACCGTTACTGTCGGGTCGGAGTGTCGACATGTTCTTACACTTTACCGGCGCGGCGGACATTGTACCGCAGGCGTGACAGGGGGGGCGCGTGCTCCGCGTGCTGTGATATGCTAATGCCGGCGCGCCCAGCACGTCCACCGGCACCGGCACAGGCAACGCCGCCCGGGCTGATCCTATCGGGGTCCCGAGGGTGTCAGGAGGGCGTGGCGGGGCGGGCGGGGCGGGGCGCGCAGGGCCCGGGGCGCTACGCGCTGATAGGGCGATGACGGCATTTAGGCCCGTGCCGGGCGCGCTGGCGCTGCAGGGCCCCCGTGAGTCACTGATGCAAGGCGCGGTGGGCGCGGGGGAGGAGGGGGATCACCGGGACCAGGGAGGAAGCACGTGTCGGAGACGGGGGCTGGGCGGGCGTAGTTTTCTCTATTATATGCTGCGGCACAGAAGTAGTGCCCGGCTTGTGGTCGAGCAGACTTCGGAGCTAGACTAAAAGAAACAGCAACGTCAGCCAAAGTAGTACTTTGCGGAGCCACGAACAGCGTCGTGACATTTCGGCCCACGTCCTTTCCCTTTGCATGCACCAGCCGACGGCGGCGCTGCAAAACGCCCACCCTTGGAAACCCCCTACTAGGAACCGAAGGCAATCGTCGTCGTCGTCGTCGTCTTCGTGAGCCGCCGTCCCTCTATGGTTCCTCACCTCACCCCTCCCCACCCCCTCCCGCGCCTTAACGTCACGTCACGTCAAAGTCCGTCACGCCGCGCGGGAAAGCGTTGCCCGCCCCGTGCGGCCGGCCCGGCCGTCTAGTCCCGCTGGCCGCGGAGTGGAGCCCGCCGCGCCGGCCCCACCGCGGCCGTACCGCTCTCCTCGGAGCCGAAGCATTTCCCCTCCGCCACCTTGGAGCGTGCAGCGCGCAGCGATTGGCCAATTGCCCTGCCTCGGCTCCTCCCACCACCACTCTCTTTCTCTCCCCCTCTCTCTCCCCCTGACTATCTTTCTCTCTGAGGCGTACCCACACTCCCACTCTTGCCACTCCCTCTCTCTTTCTCTACGGAGCATGACTGTCGGCTCGGCTTCCACCCGTCCGGCTTGACGTTTGTGGTTCTTTGTTTGCCGTACACTTTATTCGTAAGCAAATGAGGGGTCGACCAGGCGCTGTGATGTGTGCCCATCAAGGTGCGCAAAGGTGTAACGCGATATACACCGTTTAAATAAAATTGAATAATAATTTTCCTCAAATACAGTAATAATGAGTAATGTTTGCAAGTTTCACGACCAGTATTTGACAATATGTACGAGGGACTTCTAACCGAAATTCACCTCAGAGTGCACTCGGGTACCATGTGGCTGATTGACCCTGCCCGTTTTCGGAGTTACAGTACCAGGTGGCTGGTTCAGCCCGCGCACTCCTGTAGTTATGCATTCCGCATTCCAACGTGCAAGCGTGTTGCCTACTCACTCGTCCGTAAGGCGCTATAGCGGTCGGGTTCCCCATTCCCCATTCTCTCTAACCATCCATAACAACTATCCATGCAATAGTAGCGGAATTCTAAAGTGTTCCACGCAGTACCGCGAGCTGTACTCACTCTGCGAGTTGAAGGAGTGCTGGTCGTACTGCGGAGCAGGGAAGGCGCTCTGCAGGGACATGGAGTTGAAGGCGTTGAGCTGCTGTGAGTTGAGCTGCTTGCGAAGCCGCGCCCGCCTGTTGCTGAACCACACCTGCACGCGGGCCTCCGTTAGCTTGGTCCTGGAGAAAACAGGGGAAGCAGATTTAGTAACCTCAAAAAATCACGAAATACCTTATAATGCTATAAGAGACTTGGAAATCACTTTCCAGTTTCTCAAGATAAAATTACACCAAAGTTTGTCCAATGACGAACTACTTACTTTTGCGCGAGCTCCTCGCGGGTGTAAACGTCGGGGTACTGTGTCCGCTGGAAGGCCCTCTCCAGTTCCTCGAGCTGCTCACCGCTGAACGTGGTCCTGGAGCGGCGCTGTTTCCGCTTTAGCGGGATGCCGGGCTCCGACTCAGTCTCGGACTCCTCACCACTGCTCGGACCTGAGGGGACAAAACGCCAAAGAGTTTAAAAAAAGCTTCCTTTTTGTCGCGAGTATGTGGTGGGTACGTGTAAAACGAAGGGGGTTGGGGCGTGAGCAAAACAAAAGACCAGGAGAGGAAAACGCTTTGAAAATACACGCAAGAAACTGAGACTGACTGATAAAAAAACAAATTTTTCACAAGAAATGTTTTTACGCCCCGCGCTCCCAACAGCATAGATAATGTGTGAGTGGGTGGTAAAAGAAGGCGAAAAATAGCATAAGTGACACCGAGCGACACTACTTTTGTTTTTCGTTTGGCAGTAAAACGGCAAAACGCCCTTGTCGCTCTGGGTGGGGCGTGTGGGGCAGCGGGTTAAACTTAGGACCAGATTTCTGATCGGGACGTTGTTTGGCTTCCCCCAGCTGGCGCGGGCTGGTGACGCAGACGGCCTGGCGCCCCTTTGCCCCCCGCTGGGCCCGGGGCCCCGCTCAGAGGACCCGGTGGGTGGGGCGTTCCCCTGGCGTGCCCATGGCGTGCAGCTCCTTGCAATAACATGGCGGCTGGGGGCCCGCTGAAGGGGCCCCCCAGGGAGGCTGGGCCACACAGCACTGGGTAGGCAGAGTCCACCGCGCGGAGGGCTCATGCACGATCAAAAGTATGTTTTGGTGTTCAAGCAGTTTTGGAAAAATCAAGAGGTCCCCATCTTTTGCCAAAAGAATGTGGCTGCTTGCCAACCAAGATGTCCTTTTTACCGTATTTACCGCGTTCTCTACAGTTCCACAATCCTTCATAGGCCTTCGTGGTAGCCTTGCGCTCCCGCCCGCCTGCTGTCGGGCAGGTAGCCGATGAGGAGAAGACAACGCCGCCGGCCTCACGGCCCGGCCGCCGAAACCAAACGAATAATGACAACACGACGAATGCGAATCCAAATCCGAATCCGGAAATAAGGCGTCAGGCAGGAGAGGCTGGCGCTGGGGCTGTCATCGCGATGTGACAGGTCGGGAATGTCATCACTCCCGGGTGGCACTAATGGGTGTACGGCACGGCTCGGACGCGCCGCAATGCCAGTCTCCAGCGCCGTGCAGCAGCACCGTGCAGCAGCACCGTGCAGCGCCTCCCACTCCAGTTGAGCTAGTGTCATTAATCTTGCCGGAGAAGTGTTTCCAGCGTGCCGCCCATTTGTTCTGGCCGGGAATGAGACAAGAAAGTGGAGAGAGATTCCCGCGTTTTGTCGTTATCCACGGCTTATCTGCGTATCCATGTCAACCCGGCCGCCCCACAGCGAGCTCCGCCAGCAGCAGAGCCTCCTTACGATCTCGGACAAAGGAGCTTCGGCAGAACGACTCTCATGAGACTGGAAAACGAATGTTTCCCGTGAATTTTCGAGACTGAATCAATAAAAAATGAATTTCTTATTTCAGCGTATACTCAAGAAATTCCTTCCTTTTCTGGCTGTGCACTGAAAGTATAGAGAAGTTGCACAACTCGCTTCGACTCTGCCTGCCGTGATGTGTGCTCGTCACCCCACCAGCCTCCCCTCCCCAACATGGCTGGCCTGCGATTGGTGGAGCTGGCGCGAGGGGTGGTGGCTGGAGGGGTGCCCCGCTCCTCAGGGGTGAGACTGTCCCTACTACCCGACGCCGCGCGGTCTCTGGTCCCACCATGCGTTCAGCTCCCCCTCGCGTGGTCGCGCTCGCCCTGTTGTTCGCTTGGCCGACCCCACCCCGCGGAAAATGTCGACTATCAGTGACTGTTGGTACCTGGTCGATGAAGCGGCGTGATCGAAAAGGCTTCGAAGCACGCTCTCGAAAGCTTCGGAGAAATACGAGGTCCGCAAGGAACGAGTATTTCTCTTTTCTTCGCCAGCTCTGGGTATTACGAATAAATCGCTGAGCGACAACCAGCCTCGATATGACGGGGCCTTTGGGGTGGGGCGACGGCGACGGGCGGGACGAGGAGACGGACAGGCCAGATGGTGATGCGACGATTTCCCCCTAACTCTTCTCGGCCAGCGTCGAGAGACGAGGCGGCTTGTTTGAGAGAGTGATGGAGTCACGACCCGATCGCGAAAGAGGGTTGCGCGCGGAGCGGGAGGGGAGGGAGATTACCACCAGCGCGAAGGGGGATAGGGAGGGGAGCGAGAGCGAGGGAGAAACCTCGGCACAAGCACGGCGAGCAGGGCGACCAACGCTGCCTCATCGCAAACGCTGACTTCTCTCTCTCTCTCTGCTCGTTTTGTTATTATTTTGGGCCGTATACTGCACAAATAAGTGCCGTCCGTGCATTGCAAGTAATCATTACTTCGTTTTATACATGAAACGGAAAACAAAACATGTGAAATGGGTAGAAAACTTTTACTGGTATTTGAACCAAAGGTGCGGGCGGGCGAGGGGGAGGGGTTGGGCCAGTGCTGTTGGGGTCAGCAGGGGCGGGCAGAGCGGTTCAGACGGTGAGAACGCCACCTCCAGGCCCTCCAGTGCGCGCCGCGCCACGCCGACTTTGCGCGATTCACGCTTCGGAGAAAAAGATGCCGGCGCGGCCTGGACCAGCGCGGGCGGTTCTCTCCTATCTTCCCTCCCTCTCTGTGCCCCTCTCCCGCTCTCCCCTCTCTCTCTCTCTCTCCCTCCTCCATTTGGTTGAGGCGTGGCGGGGCGGTTGTTTGGGGCGGCGCTGGTCGGGGCCGTCACTTTGTGCTTTATGAGCTGGCCACACCGCAGACCACACGCGCCGCGCCGCCGAGCGCTGAGCGCAGAGCGCCGCGATCAGGCGTCGCAAGCCTGACAGACGGCCAGCGCGGCGCGGAGCGCAGCGGCGTGCCCTTCCCTCCCTCCTCATCCTCCTCATCCTCCACCTCCTCGCCTCCTCATTCCACTCGCAATCTCCTCGGCGATAGCCGCACCTGCTGTCCACTTGCAGGGCCATTAGAAAGCGCATGGAGGCAAAGGCGGCGCGGCGGCGCACTGCTGTCCCACCGGCGCGGCCGGGACGTCCAGGACGTCCACCTCATCACCGGGCCACCCCGCCCCGCCACCCCCCGCCACGACCCTTCACACAGACCCACATCAGCGCGACTTTGGATTCGCTCTAACGGCTCAACACCGTGACTTCCTAAGATCGAGTTGCGGCACCGTCACTGGGGGGG